AAAAAAAAAAAAAAAGTGTTAAATAACTTACTGCTGCTTTTATAAAATTCAGAAGAAAATAGGAGATAATTTACAGAAAATACTAATGTTTACCTTGTAGAATTTGTGATTGATAAACAGATTCAGAATCTTAATCTCCAAGCCTCCTCTCTTGCTCCTTTTTTTTTTTTTTTTTTTTTTTTTTTTTTTTTTCTTTTTTCTTATCCCTGACCCTGGGGATTAAATCCAGGGCCTCACATATGCTAGGCAAGTGAGAAAATAGGAGATAATTTACAGAAAATACTAATGTTTACCTTGTAGAATTTGTGATTGATAAACAGATTCAGAATCTTAATCTCCAAGCCTCCTCTCTTGCTCCTTTTTTTTTTTTTTTTTTTTTTTTTTTTTTTTTTCTTTTTTCTTATCCCTGACCCTGGGGATTAAATCCAGGGCCTCACATATGCTAGGCAAGTGCTCTAACCTTTTCCTCATTGGAGGATAGCACTAAGCTATCCTTCATCCCTTTTATTTTGAGACAAGTCTCACCTGTGTAGTACCAGCCTTGAACTTGCAATTCTCCTTACTTAGCCTTGGGGGTGATATTCCATTTTTTAAAAAGAGCAAACTATCCTGCATAAAGCCTTCCAGTCGCTTCCTCTTACAACCAGGATAAATATTCCCTACTTCCTTCTGACCCCGCTCACCCCAGGCTTCTGCTCACAAAACACCTTGAGTTCTAGGCACGTTGGTCTTTTTTCTGTCCACATAAATCCAAGGTTCTGCTATTGCTTCTCCCAGATTTCCAAGTGTTGTCACTTCCTTATCCTTTATGTCCTAATTTAAATATCATTTCCAAAAGGCATTTTTCTTGACCTCATCATCTAAAGCACTTTTTTTACTATCCAATGGCGTTTTGCAGTCTTCCTGAAATGTAGTAGCACCTTAAATAACATGTTATTTATAAGATTGATATTTCTGTGTCCACATGAAGGCAGAGATTTGTCTACCATTTTCTGAAAATATCCTCTGCAGCAAGAATAGCAGCACGTATATGTGCTTACTGAATTAATTTGGATATGCAGGTGCAGGCTTCTCAAGCCTTAGAAGTCCTGAAGGCTTCAAAGAAAATTCCAAGATGTCCAAGCAAATGTGTGGTTTTCTGAATGTATCTAGTGACCTCTACTGGAGTGCTTACCACAGAAACCACGTACAGATCTGATTGCCCTCTCACAACTCCATTGAATGGCAAAAAATAAGTGTGGGTGTGAAATGGGTCAGGGTCACTTGAGCATGTTCCTGCCTCAGAGAAACCCTGTGTCCTTTCTGCTTGATCAGCTGTTCTTTCTGCTGCCAGCTCATCCATTTTTGCCTTTGGCATATATTGTAGACGACAATAGTCAGGGATTTGGAAATCAGAGGTCTTTTCCATTTCCTTTCCAAATCTTATTGCATAAATGACTGCCTTTTTACTGAAAATGTAGCCAAACAATGAAACTTCAGATAGACAACCTGGGGAGGTGATGATATGGACACACTTGGTGTGGTATCCTTTATTTCCCTTCTCTTGACTCAAGGAGCAATTCTGAAAATGGTATTAACCAATAAAAAGCAGGAATTGGCAAAGGCTGTGCTCATGTTGAGAATAATAGTTTCATAAAAGTTTCGGGGCCGGGGGTTTAGCTCAGCGGTTTGGTGGCCTGCCTTGCAAGCGCAAGGACCTGAGTTCAATCCCCAGTAGCAAAAAAAAAAAAAAAAAGTTTCATAAGTCAGCACTGAGAGATCACTCGGAGATCACATGTTGCTAAGAATGTTGTTCCTTGACACAAAAAAGTCAAGTGGGAACCAAGGGCCAGGAATTTTTTTTTCCCATTAGTTTACTGGTACATTTAAATCAAACAGTGCAGTTAACATTTATCATTGGGATCTTGCTTCTTCACATGGTATATCTTGGTTCTTGTTTTTTCCCCATACCCTTGCCCTCCCTTCACCCCCTTCAATCTCCCCTATTTACAAATAACTGTTCCATTTTTTCTTTTTTCACATTTTTTCTTTTCCTTTATTTCCTTTCCCTCCCCTTCCCACTTCCCCTTTAGCCATTTTCTTCCTATTTCACACTATCAATTACACCATTTGAACCTCACTTACACTTTTAGTTTTTTACACCAGAGAAACTATTCAGTATTTACACATTTCCTATTTATTTCACTTGAAGTAGAAGTGTATATAGACACACACACACACATATATATATATATATCTATATATATAGATATATATATATATATATGTATATATGAAATTGATTCAGATACACTTTTTTATAGACTGAATCCTTACTGGTACATTTTAGGTATACAGTGCAGTTCCATTCATTATTGGTGTCTTGGACCTTTACACGACAGGTCTTGGTTCTCATTTATTCCCTATTCCCCTAGCCTCCCTTCACCCCCAAGATACGCTACTCATTTTACTTTATATCTTCAACATTTTCATTTACTAATATTTATATTCATTGATCTAAAGTCAGTTTTTCCAAAACGGTTTTATGTAATTAATAATAATCGTGCATAGTACAATGCAGAAAACCATTTTAAAAGTAGCTTCCTTTTTACTCTCTTTGCCTCTATTGCCAAATGCTGCCATTCTGGGGAGGATTTAGTGGGCCACCCTATGCCTTATGAATAAGGCCGAGCATTGCTAACGCGGTTGTCGTAGTGTCAGGCACTACGTTGAGCCTCTTAGATAAATTATTTCCTCCTTATTTTAATAAGAAAACCAAAGTTTAGTTAACACATCGGCTCAAGGTTATTTGCTTACATGGCAAATAAGCGGCTGGCAGAACTCAGTTCCAGGCCAAGCACTCGACACCTGACACACACCAGAGAGGAGCAAACCACTCTGGGTGGGTTGGGTAATGTGAGTCAGCGCTGCGGCGGCCTGTTCACTCGCCGAAGGACTGGTGAAGGGTGCTGAGAGGAAACCTGGGAGCTGGAAGTGCTGTCCTCCCAGCACCGCTTTCTCGCTCCTCGTCAACACGTCCTTCTGTGTGGTTTTACAGGAACTCGCGTTTGTAGCACCCACAGAGATTAAGTAACACAAACACGTCATTGCGTGAAAGAGGCAGGCGTCTCGACAGCGTGGCCTCCTATCTTTGCTATTTTCGTCATTTTTTCGATTAGTCTTATAACCTTTTCTTCACAACTTAAGCAAATGGATAGTAATACGGATACGTACAAGTATAGATGAAGCTCAGACTCACACTCGTTCCTGAATCACAGAACCTGTAGTTGCTGTATTTGATTCACATGTGTTCATTAATGTCACATCATAAAATACAGTTTGACTTATCTTGAGTCATTAAAACAAGCTTGAGCCAATTAGACCAACCCTATGGAAAATGGGCTAATGTCATAATAAAAAGTTATAAAATAGTGTTAACAGGTGACAAATTAAATTCTGGTTCTCTACTTAAAAATCTAATAGATATAAATTCTGTTTATCTGATTATAAATCATATACGCAGTGCTAGGGGTCAAGCCCAGGGCCTCACCCGTGATAGGCAGAGGCTTCACCACTGAGAGCTACAGCCTTAGTCCTATGATAATTTGTATTTTGAGATAAGGCCTTTCTAAGACTTCCCGGGCTGGCCTCAAACTCACAACCTTCCTGCCTTAGCCTCTTAAGTTACTGGAATTATAGGCCTGTGCTACTGCAGCCAGCTTGAATCATGCTTCGCGTGAGCTTCAATTCTGCTACCGTATAGTGTGATGTAAAAATATTGACTGTAGCTTAAATCTGTAGAGTAAGACAGAATGCCCTTACTCCTCTGGGGAACAATGTAGGATGGTGTGTGTGAAGTACATGGTCACACATGGACATACACTTAGAATGAGAAGCTAATGTGTGGATTTATCTGCAGCCCCAGCCTGGTGATATTTCAGAACCTGTGTTCTTTGCGGCTTTCTTCCCTTGTTTGAATACTTTCATGTCCACGGGACTATTCTGCATCAGTTTGGTAATGCTTGAAGTAAATTACAAATGTGACCAAAAGTAATTCCTCCTGCCCCATTAAAATATGGACTAATGGTCACCGATCTGTTAAAGTTACATTGTTTATAAACAGTACCCAAAGACACACTGAGATTTATGCTTTCTCATGTGGGGGCGGAACGCTGTTACATTATTAAGGAAAAGAGAATCAAGATCTATGCCTATCATCAAAATTCAGTTTGTAAGTGCAGAAGGAAATAGCTGGGTACAATTTTTTAACTCCCGAAAGAGGCATCAAAAGATATAGGGAGTGAAACCTAAAAGAATTTAAAGCCAGAGGCCCATACCAGTCGATTCTGTGTCACCTAAGACTTGACCAGGGGACTCATTAATACGGAGTGCTGTGGAAATGATGAAATAGGCACCGGTGACAGTGAGTCTGGGAGTTTGGGCAAAGGGACAGGCTAAAGGGCTGGCCTTGATGCTCAGCCTACCCCAGGGCTGCCTGCCCAACCTCTGAGCCGGAGGATTTCACTGGCTGCTCCGGGTGTTGGGACAGATGACATTAGGGTAACGTCCTCGCTGGACCTGCCCAGAAGGATTGCAGAAATTGCTGCGATTTCTCCTTTCCCTGGGAACTCTGTTGGAAGTAGAGATTTCACTCCGCGGGGTTATTCCTAGGAGAAGCCGCCCAAGCCGGACACCCTACCGGCCCTAAAGCTCGTCTCAGCTCACCTCTCCTGGGATTCCACTTAACTGAAACAGATTCAACAAGGGGTCTGAGACTGGAAGGAGAATGCTCCGAGGCCGATCTTTGTCTGTGACTTCCCTGAGCGGGTTCCCTCAGTGGGAAGCTGACAAACTTCCTGTGGAGGATTTGCTGCTGTTTGAAGTTTCTTGGGAGGTGACCAATAAAGGTTTGTGCCATTCCCTGGGTTGCTAAAGCATGTATATTTAGGACTTTACGGGTGACTCTAGTGATCATGAATTGCCTGCAATTGAGACCAGTGTTCAAACTGAATAATATATTTAGGTTACCCTGAACGTTGTCTTTCTTAACAGGTAATGAAAATGTAGACTTCTGGATATATTTAAGAGGGAGAAAACCTGAAAATATTAGTGATTGCCAGAAATGTGAGATTAAATTAAAAATTTAAATCCCCATTATAACAAAAAAGAAATGAAATTTTTTATCTATGTTTTTTGTTCTATAATTTTTCTCTATCAAAGACTCATAACTAAGTACTTTATTTTAGGAAGAATTATATGTGGTCAGAGGACCAATTAGAAACTTTAATTCTACATTTTATAAGTGATATATGAAATATTTAGTAATCAAGATTACTTTGAAATTAGTTTTTAATTCAGAAGCTGCTCAGAAGGCAAAATGTAATTTTTTTCTTCAATGCTACATGCATGTAGAAACTATATAATATGAAAGGAAATCAAATTTGTCAAAATAACATAATTTCCTATTAAGGTATAACTTCATTTGAGCTGGGCTGGAAAAGTCAACCTAAATGAATTTAATTATAAAAACAATCCCCGTGTATTGATATTCTCTAGTTTAAACAGGTCAAGACATCAATAGGGAAAAAGTACTGATTCTGAAGGCTGAGTTTTTCCAGACCATGAAGGACCAGGCCCAGAGACTTATGGGTAAAAGGCAGTGGCGATGGTAACTTGGAGGAGCCAAAAGGATAACGTGATTTGATACTTTACTTCTTCCTTTTGGCTAAGCAGAACTGATATAGTCTCAAAATAGAATTGTGTTTGGCCTCTGTTCTGATCGTATGTGACCTGTTCAAGTTCTCCTGTGTGTGCATTTGCAAAACCCCTAAAAGCAAAGTTAGCACAATATCCACAGGAGGTCATAGTTCAGTCCTCCTCCCTGTAGATAGGAAGAAAGCAATGAGGACAGAGAACTTAGCATAGAAAAGGGAAGTACTTAGTAACTCTTTTAGAGTCCTTTTTCTAGTCACAATTTTTTGTCTGTCCAGTTTTTAAATATTCCTACCATTCCTGTGGATCCTCTACTACATTTGAGCACCAGAAACCAAAAACCTTAACAAAGATTTTCTCTACAATTAGCAGGGATTTGAGGTCATATCTTGTCTGTGGGGAAAATCAAGTGGCTGGGCTGCCTTTAGCACCCAAAATCAGCCCCTCTCACAAAAATCAGACCTCTGCACAAGTTCCTACACTTGAGCAGAGCTCAGTCTCTTTCCTGCCTTTTCTTCCATTTAAACAACTGTCACGTAATGGGTGCACACGTGACAGCGCTCACCCCATACGTCCTAATTCCGACGATGGACATGGCGACCTGCGCTGGGCCTAGAATAGGTCGGAGAACAGACAGTGATCGATGGGTTTGCTTTCTCCAAGCTGAAAAAAAAAAATACATTTATTTCTCAACCTCTGAACTGCCTTGCCATTCATCTGCTACTGTTTCTTCTACCAGGGAAGGCTTTTTTGGGGTGTGTATGCATATGGAGACAGATATACATTAAAGTTGGCATCTGCAGTATATCTTTATTTCAATATTTTTTCACAGTCACGTGTTATTATTTTTAAATAGATGGAGAACTACTGTGTTTCTCCTTGACACTTTGCTGCTATAGTTTCTCTTTAAAATTTACTTTGAATTTCTACTCCCTGAAGTTCACAGCCATGCTCTGAGGCATATTAGAGATCATGAATTCATTTCCTCCATTTCTTAGATGAAATGGGTTAGGAAGGCATTGAATAATCACCATGGAAGTGGCTGAGATAAAACTTGGAATCAGAGCTTTTCCAAGTCCAAATGTTTTTGCTACCACATAAGAATTAACTCTCATTTTTCCCCATTCTCCTACCCTCCATTCAACCCCTCCACCTCTCCCCATTTACAAAGACTTTGTTTCCATTTTTTTCCTTTTCTGAGATATATTATGTAAAGGTACAACATCCCAATAATGAGTGTCAGCATATTGTATACCTAAAATGTACCAAAAAAAATAATGAAAAAAAAAAGAATTAACTCTTAAAACCTCCACTGTCTAAGCAAGTGCTTTAAAGATGGAAAAGGTCTGAGTTGCAGTTAAATGTGAGAGATTTATGAAATTTTCACAAACTTACATTGTTTGAATATCAGCTTCTTCATGACTAAAATAAATATATAGTAGTATATTCTAGCCATCTTACAGTGTTCCATGACAGACAAGGAAAGTATTCATATCCAAAAAAACTAAAAAAATCTCTTAGAAAAAAAGTTCCCTCACTGATAGGACTTTGCCAGTGAAGAATGGAAATATGTTCAGAAACAACAAATGAAGGAGTCACAGTTAAATCTAGGATCTCAAAATAACCTTTTCCAATTGTTCATCTTAACCTGAAATTTCTTCTTATTCATTCATCTGTTTTTAATCAATGCCCATGTATTATTCAATAAAGATTCATACAATGTCTATTCGGTGTTAGACACTGTGACTGGAGAAAAAATAGCATTGATTCCAGTAGTCCAGAATTTTCAGAATCACAGGAAGATAGATTTTTTGTTGTTGTTGTTTGTTTGTTTGTTTTTGGTACCAGGGATTGAACTCAGGTCCTTGCACTTGTGAGGCAGGCAGCAGAAGCACTCAGCTAAATGCCTGGCCCCCCACGGGCAGATAGACGTGGAACAGCTATTATAGTCAAATGTGAGTGTGAGGGGAAGAGAACAAGGTGATCAGTGATTATCCAGCATGTTGCTGGTGGTGCTGGTGGTTACATGAGCTTGGATAAAGAATTTTGCCTACATGTTGGAAAAAAAAAATTTTTATTGTCTTTGCTCAGGCCTTACAACAATGATTTCCTCTTCACAGACTTGACTCATTGAGAATGTGAGTGTGGTATTTTGAGGGCAGTTAGGATTATTAAAAAGAGTTTAAAAATTCTGTCACAAATAATGAAATTAACTAAGGGATGTAAAGATTTCTGAAATGTAGTTCTTATACAGAGTTTTCCTTATTGAACTTGACTAGACACAATTTGTTTTACTCCTAAGCTAGCACATTGCAGGACATAATACTTCACCTGCTCCCTCCTGAACTGGACATCATAGCTCTAGGTCACGAGCTTGAAGGATGTACTGAAGAAGTCAGAAAAATACAGACAAATGGTGTGGTAGTGATGAATGGTAACTACAAATCCGGAATTTGCGGGCAGACATTTTAAAGGAGAAAACTTTAAGGAAAGTGGAACTCAAAAAGTTTGCGAGGCTGTAGAAATTGTGTCTGAAAAATGTGTGCACATGTGTGCCGGAGTCTTTTCTGAGAAGACTTCATGCTTTCACCAGATTTTCAGATGCCTCTATGACCTGTAAAGGACCTCCATACGAGTTGAGTTTCTTATATACTCTTATAGTAACCACTTATCAGAGGTATAGTTTGCAAATATTTTCTCCCACTCTGTTGCATCATGCTACTGACTGTTTACTTTGCTGTGCAGAAGACTTGAGTTTCATGAAATCCCATTTTACTGTTTTTGCTTGTGTTTCCTATGTTTTTGGAGTCTTATCCAAAAAAAAGCCCTTACCCATTCTAATGTCCTGAACATTCCTCCAGTGTTTTCTTCTAGTACATTTACAGTTTCAGGTTTCACATTTAAGTCTTTAACCTACTTTGGATTGTTTTTTGTAACTGGTGTGAAGTAGAGGTTTGATTTCTGTTTTAGTTACTTTTCTCGTACAAACACCCAACATCCAAAGGTAAATAAAGGAGGAGAGGTTTCTTTGGCTCACAGCTCTTAGCTGTTTCACTTCACAGTTGGCCCGCTCCATGGCAGAGGAGAAACAATTCATGGCAAAAGAAGAGCAGACAGAAGGCAGCAAGCAACAAGCTTTCTGTCCCTTATATCCTTACCCTTAAGTCAGGTAGCACTCATACCATACCTAGGGTGCACAGCCTTAATCCCACCCAGAACTATGCCAAACCGATCAGTGGACTGATTTAGTAATCACACACCCTTGATCCCTGCATCACTAGCCACCTCTGAAAAAGCCCCATCTATGACCACATGAGGCTTTCGGGGGACGTCTAGACACAGCCATATCAGCATCATTCTTCTGCACATAGATATCAAACGTACCCAGGCTCATTTGTTGAAGAAAATGTCCTTCAATGAGTGTTCTTAGCACCCTTGTCAAGAGTCAGTTGGCTAAAGATGTGCAGATATATTCTTAGGCTTTCTATTCTGTTCTATTGGTCTATTTTTAGTTTTATCCCAATGCTGCACTCTCTGATTATTATAGCTTTATAGTATATTTTAGATTCTAATATGTCTACTTCTTATTCTTTTTGCTCAATACTGCTTTGGCTATTCAGTGTCTTTTGTGATTCCATATAAACTTTAGGTTGGCTTTTCTGTGTTTGTGATGAACGCCATGTGTATTTTAATGGGATTGCATTAAATGTGTAGATTGCAATGGGTATTGTGAACATTTTAATATTACTAATTCTTAAAATCCAAGAACATAGGATGTCCTTCTATTTTGTGTGTGTGTTCTTCAATTTCTTTCATCAGAGTTTTATAGTTTGTATTGTAGAGCTCTCTCACTTGGTTAAATTTATTACTGTGTATAGTTTTGTAGCTGTTATAAATAGGATTGATTTCTTTTTCAGATAATTCACTACTGGTGCATAGAAATGTTATTGCTTTTGTGTTAATTCTGAACACAGCAACAGTTTGGAATTCATTTATTAATTCTAATAGTTTTTTGGCAGAATTGTGTTTTCTATAAATAAGATCATATCATCTGCAAACAATGATAATTTGATTTCTTCTTTTCCAATTTAGATGCTCTCTATTTTTCTCACTTGTCTAGTTGCTCTGGCTAGGATTCTCCGTACTATATTGAATAAACGTGATGGAAGTGAGCATCCTTGTCTTGCTCCAGATC